CGGCAGACCGGACTGTCTACAAGCCTTAGCTTGTATACATGTTTCCTAAAGTGACAGTGTCCCGTCACTTTTCTGAGCCGAATTTTATTCACGCTCAATAACTCATTCGTTCTTTTCTGCCAAGACGCTCCATAAGTTCCTCCTCATGGCTCTGTCCTGGCCTTGAAGCCCAGTATTTTCTAATTTTGACTCAGTCCATTTGCCCAGAGCTCCTGACCACACTGAGAGATGCGTCACGGAAGGGCTCTGGACCAATGAACTCTGTTTCGGATCCCTTCCTAGCAAGTTTATCCGCTTTCTCATTTCCGTGAATACCTTTGTGTCCTGGCATCCAATACAATCTAACTGTATTAATAGTAGCCAGTTCAATCAGTTTTGAACTTACCTTGTATGTATCTTGCTGCTTGATTGTCAGAGAATATGTATATGAGTTTATGTTTATCACCTCTACATACATTCTCTGTTAAATACTCCACTGTCGTGAAGATTTCTGCTTGAAATACAGTGGGAGACCTCCTCAGACTGTAGTTTGCATTGCATCTGTGTCTGAATCCATATATTCCTGCACCCTGGCAGTTTTGGAGCTGTCCGTAAACCATACCAGGTTCCATCTATTATCAGAGCGCACTGAAGTTACTTTCTACTTTGTAACATCAACATTTCTCTATGAAAATTGGTATATCAAAACAATGTTCCAAAATAATTTCCAACCAAAATACAAAACTGAGATTGTCTAGACTTCTCTAGAAATGAGATGACACATAAAAATAAGAAGGTATTTTAGTGTTACGAAAAAATTATATTGTGTATACATTCAACTGAAAATAATATTCATGGAAACTTAAAAAATGTAATACCAAACACAACGCGAAAATTAAAATAACCTTAACCTTCAGATGAATAATTACTTAGAGATTATAATTACTTTCGAACAAATGTCCCGCAAATCACTGTTATTTTTAATGACAATTTTAAAAAAAATCGTTATTCTTAAAAAATATGTAGTCATTGCACTAGTAAAGAAAAATATTGGCCAACTTGTACCATTAGTTTTTTAACACTGTACGTTTGGAAAATTATTTTGGAGAGCATCAAAATATGTATTTCAATAGACGCTTTTAGTGTGACATACTTAGGCCACTCGCAACAAATTGCCATAGTTGAAATTGTACAGACCGAATCTGACCCTTTTGTACTATTTACATAGATGCTATAAATACACGTAACCATAACCAAACTTTTCTTGAACGATATCCCGTTGCGAGGCTATTTCGCTTACATGAAATTATCTTTAATGAGCATGCTGAGTAACATTAATATAATTTTAATTTATTGATTATTATAAGTCAATATTGTTCTATAAATTTAAATATATACATTCTATAATTCTTTTAGTTATGTCCAAAGTACATAAGGTCGAAAATCGATCTAGTAAAAAAAATTGAGAAATTTTTCTTTACAGTGCACTAAGGGGTTGCCTATTAAATATTTGACGTATGTGACGTCACTACTGAAAAGGTCTGTTGTTAAAATCGATATTCCAAAGAGGTAAAAAATTTTCAAGAATTTTGAAGGCCCTAGCGGCTAAATTAAGCGATTTCGGATGTAAGTAAGTAAGGCTAATTAGGATTATTCTGAGCCAAGGAGTCTCTGGTCCAATATTTTATTATTAATTATTTATTTTGAACCCCAGTACAAAAATAGTTTAAATATACAAATATATATTTGTCGACCTGATATCCACTATTAAACAGTAAATCAATAATTACAAAGTAGCCCAATTTTACCAGTAATTATTGCGTTTAATTACTGTATTTGAACTATTTGCTGAAATATTTTCAAAACATTCTGAACATTTATTTTATTATGAAGTGATGAAAGTTTCCAACTGACAATAATACGTCACTATCACTAAAAATAGACGTAACAAACCAATTCTGTGGCGCCGCAAACCAGTGTCCCGTAACGGTGAGTATTTCGACGAGGGCCCGTAATTTCTGATGTGTGACAAATTTATAAATAATAATACACTAATTAAACGTAATGTTAGTATCGCAAATTTGTTTAAGTTTCATCTAAATATAGAACTAAATTACTTACCTGCAATAAATTAAAATGTTTCGCTGTGGCGTACGAAGAGGAACGGGAAAGGGTATACTGATACGCAATGTCTAGACGGCTCAAATGATCCAAGATCATATCATAAAATTGAATAATCTTAATCTTTCACACAAAGTACTATCATTACAGAACACACTATCCTTCATAAGTTGTAAACTCATTTGGAACTCAATAAAATTTCAATACAGGCTTAACAGTAATAATGCAATAAAGTTTGAAAGGAGAGGTATATTGTTTAGACTACAGGCTTCTGTCGCCTTTGTAATCCTTGTTAACGAGATTTGTATGAAGTGTTGGATATCGTTATTGGCTAACACTTTGTTTTCTCCTGTGGCATCTGGTTTTGTATCAATATTTGAATTGAAATTGTCATTTCCTTGACACCAGGCAGGTAAAATCCAAGCGAAATTTGAAAGATACGAATTCCAATGGTCTTTGGTGAGTTATAACCAGAAATTGTTATTACAGTGCGGGCACAGTTAATGAATATTGTTTATCCATTCAGGTACCTCAAATATTAAAAAAAATGTTGTGTGCTTCCATGGCATTGTACAAGGTCTGAATATTGATTTATTATAAAAATTAGAGAAAAAAGTTATAGAAAAGTATTAACTTTTCCATACTATCGATTATAATAAATAATTGTCAAAAGTGTAAACAAACAGAACTTCAACTTTTGTAAATGTTAGGCTTTACATATTTAGATTTTTATTTTGATTTTTGTAACGACCTTTTCACACATTTTTTTATGTCGGATTCAGCGGCGTCCGCGATATTTTTGTATAACTTTCAGTTTTTAAGATATAACACAAATTTATAATTTTTAAAAAGAAACCCTGTATATTTTTATATATTATATTTGAAATCTGCAACATTTCCTTTTAAAGAATCTATCATACAGGGCGTTCCTAAAGGGTTTGTACAACGCTCCACCAGATGTAGTACATCTCAAAATAAGTCGATTTAACTTTATTGCACAGAACAGCAACATAATTGACAGAATAAAAAAACATACTTTCTAAAAACAATTTATCAATTTAACACAATCTAAACAATGTAACCAATCTCTAAATGATCCAAAAATCTAAAAAGTAACTGTTTTAAAAGATATGTTTTTCAATGGAGTTGAAAATAACCTTTAAACACATTTTTTTATGCATTTACAAATTTAAATGCCTTTTTGTTGGAAACGGTTGGTTTTGAGATATATACAAGGTACACCTTTTTTAAACAGAAAAGTTTGGAGACAAGATTTTTCCAGTTTAAAGTGAAATACACAGTGGCACAAAACAGTTTTGGCAGTTTCAATGCGTCCTAATTGTCGCTTGTGGCGCCCTCTAGAAGATACAACGAAATCGTCTATAAATTCGAATGTTTCATCCCAAAAAAACCCCGGATATGAAATTTCATAAAATTAGCTCCAAGGAATCGAAAAATTAAACAAAATGTTATTTATTTTTTCAACTTTGACACCCTGTAGCTCCGTGTTATCAATTTTTGGACAAAGACAAGTTTACTTAAATCTTTGAGCTGTACTATATTCGGTGGAGCGTTGTACACACCCTTTAGAGACATCCTGCATATGGTATTGACATAAGTATAAACATCAAAAATTAGTTCTTTATAAATTAATTACTTCTTGATGCAATTTTTTCATCGGCACGTTAAATACGTTCATGGCACACTTAAATGTGTCAAGAAACAGTTGAATAATAAAAATATAAATAAAAAATTGTTGGCGTCTATTCTCTGAAAGAAACCGTTTTGTTTTAATAATGGTATGATACATCATTGGAAAGGAAATTTTACGAAAATTTCAAAAATCAAAAAATGTATAGGATTCTTTATTTTTCTATTTCTGTTATAACTGAAAAACTGGAAGCAACTTAGAAAACGACCAACATTCAAGAATGTTCTGTATCTTTTAAACCAATCGAAATGCGGTATTTGCCCTTCAACTTTTCTCGAAAATCGAACCCATGATATATAAACTCCTTTTTTTTCTGTTTGATTGAAACTTGTTAGGAAAAGTTTGATTGGTACTTGTTAGCTGCAAAATGTTAATGGTATGTATAAACACCTTTAGTTGTAATCATTTCTAACTGTGCTATAACACTGTGCAAATATCTTTTTCCGGGTACGAATCCAAAGATTTAATAACCAGAAGCAAGATTAAAATCCTGAGGGATCTAAGGTTTCAGCCTATAGTGCTAAAGATATGTGTTGCCATTGAAGCAGATCTATATTTTGAAGCACTTACTTCTTTTTGTGATTTATTTAAAAGACCGCATGCAATATGTCGAGATCAATGGATGTCTAGGTGAATTATAGTTAGTGAAGTTGGGTGTACCTCAGGGTACTGCTCTTGGTCCTATCCGTTTTACTGTTATAAAAACCCTCTATTAAGTCTTAACACAGATAGCAAACTAGTATGTTTTGTTGATGATCATGTGATATTTAGAGAGGATGACTGGCATATAGTTGGTTGGAATGGGTATCAGTTATACAATTTATTCATCAAACTTTCGAATCATTAAATGTGAATTCAGTCTTTAACTAGGAGTTAGCAAAAAATATTCCATTAATCATTTGTAGAGTTACGAATAACTATCGTACAGGCGTGAGGCTTAATCTTACGTTATTTAGAATCGTACATTCAGAATTCCTAGACCCACATTTACTAATAAATCAATGATTTGATACTAAGGAGTTAAGGTTTATGAACTTGGCATTTATGAAGGAGCGCTGACAGGTCCAAACGATCAGTCGAAAAATCCGCGTGTCGCGCCCATGGACCGCTGCACGCTATATTATATTGTGGGAAGATAGAGGCACCTTATTGAAGTATAACGGGCTCCAAGTCCGTCTCTGGCGCCTACATGGCGCCAGCCATCCCCACCACGGGTCTAGACCGGTCTCACTCTGGCGGCCCGACACACAAGCAACTCCGAGCCAGAGAGAACGCAAGTCAGTCCTGTGGAAGGCATTCACGGAACGAGCCCGCGATATCCGCCGCGTCGACCTGTCGCTCTGACCGGCACCAGAAGCTAGTGATAGTGCAGTGGCTGTGTGGTGAGGAGGTAAAAGTGTGTGCGAGACGACCTATAGTGGCCCCCAAATGCTTACCCTGCGCCGAAGGCAAATCCTCTTTGATGTTCATGTTCCGCAGCAAAAAGGCAAACCTCACTAAGCGCCTGGTTAAAGCCCGGAAGAGACGGGGCAATGAAACCAGGCGTACGGCTGAGGAGGAGACCGACAGCATAAGCACCCTCCTCAAGAAGCTGCAGGAGAACCAGCTGGAGATGCTGCTGAGGGCCATCGACACTACGGGTAAGGACCTGACCAACTGCGTCCTTCTTCCCCAGGCATTCGGAGAGGAGCCCCACGTCCTGTGTTGCCAGACCTGGAGGTGGCCCGACCTGAGGCAGGGCAGCGAGCTCAGGAGGCTGCCCATGTGCAGGTCGGCCTCCGATCCCGTCTATATTTGCTGCAACCCCTACCACTGGAGCAGGCTATGTCAACCTGGTGAGTGCCTCCACGAAAGTGCAGTATTGATTGGCGACATTCACAATCGAATCCTAACGTGATATCCTTATCCAATACTGTTATTGATTCAATAACAAAGCGCTATCATACCAGAACTGGTCAAAAGATCAACACATTGTTTTCGACTAATTCAATTTTTGAATGCAAGAAGATAAGGGATCAGATCTAACATCAACACGCTTGGTACCAAACCTGACACTGCGGAGATCTTCCCAAAACCCCCCAAAGGTCATACTTTTCGATTAATTCGCATTATTGATCAAAACTCTAACGCCCTAAGGGTTTACACATGCAAAACAAGCCGGAATCCAATTGGACGGGCACCGACCAATGCGTGTACCATAGAGGAACAATAATAAATAGGTAGAGTACGTGAAGCAGCGTTGCCACAGCTGCCTCGTTTGGGGTAGATCTACCACTGTTAAAGGAGATTTCGTTGAAATGCTAGAAAACGAAATAGATTTTAAAGGAGATTTCGTTGAAATGCTAGAAAACGAAATAGATTTAAAATTTCCATTAACAAATCCGTTAAATAATAATTAAGAATTTCCAATCCTGTATGTCAAAATTTAAGGGGAACGTTAATGATGAAGTAATTTAGAAATATCTTGTAGTAGTTCAATCAAACCTCTTAGTTTTAGTTGCAGATTTTTGCTAATATTGGAATCGGGAACATTAAAATTTCTGTATTCCGTGGTTGAAATTTCTTTCTTTACTTCAACTAAATGAATATGATAATGATTCTATGTGCTTTAGGAGTCACATATTTTATTTTCTATAAAACGGAATTATTATATGTTTATCAAGGTAAGAGCCATGTTAAATATATAACTGCTAGTTTATTTCTTACATTTCTGTAGAACTATCTAAAATTAATTAATGATGAATTAATAGCTGGTAATTAGCATGACTCAAACAATGCCAAGGTGTTAGAATTCTTTATAATTTTATAAAAATTACGAGGATTTACAAATTATTACAAATATGTTATTTATAATTTTCTGTCAAGACTTCATATGCCAATTAAGTTGCCCTTTAACGCATATAAAGAAAAGTAACGGATGTCCGTGAAAATTTTAAATGATTTGGAGTTTACAAAATACGGATTGAATTTTAACGATAGTCACCTTTTAAAATTTGACACTACTAATTAGAATTGGACCTTCAGTGGAAGGCATAAAAATTCAGTGGACGGAACATGGAAAAATTTAAACGTTCCATTATTGTAGAAATGTCTTAATAATCAAAATTTCTTATTTCTAGGTATTTCGGTTATCCCTAGGTTTATTCGGTTTTCAGTTGCTTTATATCTTTTTTTCTAAAGTAATCTCCTGCAATATGTTGGAATCTCATCAGGATGTTGTATAAATATACGAATACTGAATAGAATATTAGAGGAGGTTATTTAAAATCCAACCAAAAATATTCCCATACAAAGTGTAGTCTAGATCGTCTAATCATACATTTGGAACTAATTTAAAATTTTTTATGTAATTTTAATGAGTACTAAAAGGCTATATTATTTTTTACTTTACTTTAAAGACGAAGTAAGTGAAAAACACATACCTGGTATATTGAAATTATTGCAGAATGTAATCTTTCAAAGAAATATCTTTCATTTTCTTTGTTGGTATACCCAGGATAGGTAGATCCTAACTATTTCTGCATTTTGAGGATTACTTTTTCAAGCGACCGTGTATCTAAATGGAATTAATAAATATTAGGTAATAGAAACATTGAATTTTGAAACGACATTGTCATAAGTGATGACAATACGATTGGATTAATGTGAATACATAAAATGTATCTGTAATTCCAAAAATATATTGGTACAGAATAGCATATTTAAGTCACTAGATCGAGAGATAATCAAGAACTCGTCAATTCGACTGCAGGTATCGCAGAAAATATTTTTATATTCTGAGCTAGTGTATGTTATCTTCTATATAATTAATAGGTAGATAGTTTTTATTATACTTTCCCCTTTTCTTTTAAACTATTGTCTTATTGGAGGTTATGTCGGGTTGTGCCTTTACCAAATATGTGTAATAAATATTCCGTTGAAGGTTAGGTTAATCCAGGTTACTTTTTTCCTCGAGTTTTTTTTTAAACTTATTTATTTATTACACCCAAGACCAGACCAATTTACCTACACCCGCTGTGTGACATTTTATATAAGCTACTAGTATACCCAAGGATTTTAGTATGAAAAGGCTTCCTAGGTATTTCTTTTTCTTATATTATCCCTTCAATTTGACAGTTCATGCCGTATTTAAAGTTATAGGTACTGAAAAATTTATAAGCATGTATCAATGTTTCCTTTCTTAAATTTGGTACTTTTTCTACAAGTAATTGTTATTTCTTTATATTATTTTGCATTTTGCAGATGCAGATTGAGTGATTTGATGATATTTCAACAATTTTTATACAACCTTTTAAATAATTGCCGTAAGTTGTTTTTTGTGTAATACTTCTCGCAATATCGTCAGTTAAAAATATTGTCTATGGGTTTAAAGGTCTTTTTCATTCCGAAATTGTTGGTATCGAAGAACAATTTTTAAATAAGCGGTTGCTCAAAAAATTAATAATAATCGATGCGGCAACACTGACGCAAAGCGATGTTTGTTGCTGTCTGGCGAGTTGGTCACTCTAACCTGTTCCGCCGATCGGAGAAAGAGAGAGGCCTTGTCATAGATAAGTCGGACTAATTAAAATTTAACTTGCCATCTCCAAATAATAAATAAACCGTACAGGATCCGTAATTCAATTTGTCACGTCGTTGGGTATCGTGTAACGAAAATCAAGAAGTTGCACCGGCGTCAACGAATCCTTCGTCGTGCTTTATTTATAGACGTATCGCATACGGTAAAAGTCGGGGTCACACTCTGGTCTTGAATAGCGGCGTTAATTGTCGAATTCGTTATTCGCGAATCGTTTCGAAACGGCGACGCCGCTATTAAATAGCGTTTTGTTTATAATCAATTTACTTATATTATTCGATAACGAATTATCGCCGGCCAAAGATAAGGATTCAACTATTGATAGCCTGTCATCACTTCTTGTTATCTGCCACAGTTGACGGCAACCGAGCAACATAAATAAGTCTGGAGTATTATGTTCTTATTGATTGTTATTTTCAAATATTTATTAAGTTTTCTTTTCCAGCGCTCAATGTAATACTATTGAATAAACATGCATGTTGTTGTAGCGGGAGAAATTAATCGCGAGAGATTATTGTATGTTTTTACGACCTGAGAAACGATTTTTATCTGACTGGTACGTAATACGTCATTATTTGATTCCTTACTCTTGTTTTATTGAGCCGCATTCAGTTGCGCAACATGAAAACTTTTTGGAACCGCTGATTCTACCGATAGCTCAGCCTCTGTTTACAGAGGTTGGTGCATTCCTATTTGGCGATCGTATGTTTATTCGCACACTACAAGACACACTGTCCCTTCACACGTAATTTATGGCCACAACTATGTACCTCTTTTTATGCAGTATGTGATTCGGGGACGATTCCAGACGTTCTCAATAAGTTTTAACAATTATGATTATTATTAATTTTAAGTACCGTCTTGCAATTTCAACAATTCTTGTTATTGCATATCTTTATTGTCAACGTATTTCACCTATCTTTAAAAAATTCTCTCCAAGTTTATGAACATCCTGTATCTTATCTACGGTTTACATATTTTCAGCGAAAATTATGTCAAATTTATTCGATTACAAATCTGTTTGGTGCGATTATCTATGATAAAACTAGTCATTCACCCTGTATATTAAATTCGATAAATTCCATTTAGGTACTTACGCACAACTGAATGACAAAAATGTGTTTTTGAAACACAGATAAATTTGTGCAAACGTTATCAATGGATATATTTTTTTAACCTTGTCCTGTATCAAATGAGTTTATTTAATAAGGTCGCTATAAATAAACTATCTAAATTGTAATTTATTTATTTTTTAACACCGCCTTTGTATTACACAAGTTTTTGGACGGCTGGTATGAGACCCACCAAATAGAAAGCAGTCCGGAATTAAATTTTCAGTATATTTACTGCCCGACATTTAAATTCCTAGGTCTTGATTTGAATAGAATGTCATAAATCAGGATAGACAGTTAGTTGAAATAAATAAACGCTCGCTGGAATTCAGAATAGCGACGAGGATAATTGAGGAATTAATTCACGTACATTTATTTTATTAAACGTACGTTTAATTTGCGGAGACAATATAACAAACAAATCGTGGTTTTTCCACGAAAACCATAACGATTGCATTGCTATAATTTTTACAAGAAAAGGCCGTCACTATCTCGAGCTGCCTTTGAACGTACCGACTTACGAGATGGGTTCTGCATTAATTACATGAAACTGGTGTTTATTAAACACGATAATATGCGACTATCTTTTAATTTCTTCCTCATTATCTCTTTTAGTAATGGCCCGAAATTGGATGTAGGTTGTTGGGTGTAGGCGTAGATACATTTTTAACCCCCTACTTTAGAGAGTTTGTCTGGTTTACCTCATTCGTTGCTTTTACGCTGCTAGATTTAGTTTAGGGGCCTCTTCAATTTTTATTACCGGCAAATGGGGCTACTTTATGACTTTTGGTATACTACTTTCTGACTGTGAATAAAGTTTACATACAAAACATTCAGCCAAGTAATAAATTAGAAGAGTTTTGTATATAACATTCTCTATATGACCTCCTCTCATTTCAAGAAACATATCCAATCTTTGCCTGTATTCTTTGTGGACTGCGTTTATTAACATTTCGCCGTTTAACTCATTACAAACGTTTGTGATTTTTTCTTTCAAATGATTAATATCTCGCGAAGGTGTTTTGTAAACATTTTTTAAAACCCTCCATAAAAAAATCGAGGGGTATTAGATCTGGTGACTTTCCGGGTCACTAAATAGGCCCATTGAGCTCAATCGATTTTTCTGGGTAAGTGTTATCTAAATATT